TCTGTCTGAACAAATAATGGAAAAATGTCCTCGGGTGAGGATAAAAAAAAAATACCACCACCGAGCATTGAACCCCGCGTTGTTTCAATATCTAACAGAGTGGGAGGGAGGGAGAAACATCGATGTGAGGGAGGCACATCGACAGGTAGCCTCCTGCACGACCCCGACCAGGGCCCGGGACGAACCACAACGAGGTCCCTTGACCGGAACCAAACCCACGACTCTTTGGTCCACGGCCGACGCTCTAACCGCTGAGCACCGGCCAGGGCCGGCACCTTCTCTGTGATGCGCAGGACCAAGCGAAGGGGCTCAGCTCATGTCACTGGGCCTCGCAGACACCGAGGTGGCTGCACACGGACGGCGGGGCCCCGGGTCAGCCCGTCGTCGACCCCGTTGTTCCAGGGCAGGTGCGCCCTTCGCCTGTGTCTCGGGCTGGTCGCTGAGAAGCGTTTCAAACACTTCCTGACTGTCACGTGGTCGTGACCTGTGGTCAGCAGTGTTTGACACGACCACCGTGATTGTGCGGGGTGCCCCCCGTCCACAGGAGATGAGGAACCTAAGTCATACATGTTCCGTGTTCTGACGGCTCCACGACCAGCTGTGCCCCTGTCCTCGGGCCGACCGGTCACCTGACGGCGGCTGTAAGTGTCCAGTTACGGGCGAGTCACACGCTCTCGGTCAGAAAGCTGGGCCTCTGGAGACAAGCCGTGAACACACAGAGACGTCCTCGGAGGAGGCGGAAGTGCTGGTTTGGCGAACACGTGGACGCTCAGAAACGAGCAGCCTCTTGCTGACGTGAGCGAGGTCAGAGGTGCAGAGACGCCGGAGCAGGGCCTCCTGCCCTGGGCTCTGTGAAGGCCGACAGGGGAGGGGGCTGCAGAGTGTGAAGCTGGCTGAGGTGGGCTCGGGAGGTTTCGGGAAGAAGCCGCCTCCACCACCTCCAAGTGCCGGGCAAAGCAGCCCCTCGTGTCGGGAGGGGCCGCCATCCAGCGCGTCCACAACTGGCGAGGACAGGCTGCCTCCCCGAGGGGCTCCTGCAGCTGAGACCTCCCCTGGAAGCCGATGCCGGCTCCCCGCCCGACGGCCCCGGAGCGTGTGCTCCCCCTGCTCCGCCTGTGTCTCCGCAGCCACGAAGCTGGGTGGCGCCCGCCCGTGTGCACCACGGTCCCCGCACGGGCCGAGCCCACGGCTGAGACTCCTGCCCGGGACGACGCAGCTCGATCCCTTCGAACGTCACTGCTCACCGACTGCACCTGGGCCCCGAGCTCCGGAGGGAGCGACCTGGGATCCACGTCCACCTGACGCACCCGCAGCACCTGCTCCGCACCCACGGTCAGGTGAGTGGCCGTCAACTCAGACACGGGGGAACATGCCTGAGGCTGCAGCTGCCGGCTCAGGGGTCCCTCTGGGAAAGTGCACGGAAGCTTCTGGGAAGGACGCCCCCTTCCAGACGGACCGAGAACGTGCGCCTCACGGGAAGAGGTCAGAAGGCAGCACTGGGGGGGAGGCGTGTCCGTGGCTGCGGCGGGAACAGGGTGGAGGTGGAGCCTGTGGGTGGGACCCGGGTGCCGTCCACTCGTGGTCACGCTCTACGGGGTGGGCTGCGTCTCATGGACCAGCAGAGAGAGGTTCCTCGCGACGATCTCTGGCGCAGACGCCGTGGAGATGCCGACTGATGACGGGGGTCGGCACACCCCAGACTCGCTGGGGAGGCACATCAGGGTCCGAGAGGACCAAGCCCGTTCGCAGAGCAGCTCTGGGCCGGGCGAGGTGCTATCGCAGCATCGCCTGCCGCGGAGAATGGTTTGCGGGAGGAGGTGTCAACCGACACGGCAAACGTCACTGTGGAGGATTTTAAGAAACTGCCCCGACCACTCCAGCCTGCAGCCACCCGATCAGTTAGCCGCCTCGGCATCGAGAGGAAGGGGGAGAGAGATGGAAACATCGACGAGACAGAAACATGGACTGGCCGCCTCCTGCACGCCCCCCGGGGATCAGGCCTACCACCCGGCACCTGTCCTGACGGGAATCAAACCCGGACCTCTCAGCCCGTGGGACGGCGCTCAGGCCACCGAGCCACACCGGCCGGGCGCAAAGCAGCACTGTTAAGTTTCGGTATGTATACTGCTTTTTAGACATAATTCTACCGCGTACTTAAAGAACGACAGTGGCGTGTAAACGTAACTTTTCTACGCTCTAGGAAACCGAAGACTCTACGTGACTTGCTGTACGGTGGCATTCACGGTGCCGTGGTGCCCGTGACGGTGATCTGAACCAACCCCGGTGTCTCGGAGGCCTGCCTGTCCTCCGTGGGCGTCAGGAGAACCCTAACATAGAGAGTACAGAGGTGCGGATAGACACGGGCCAACGTTGCAGAAGGAGACCCAGAATGCTGCTTCCTCTTAGCAGGTGTGGAACCGCTGGGAAACAGACTGCGGTGAAGACCACCACGTCCATTCAGGGGCGTCTCGGGCAGGTGCGGCCCCTCCCTGGCATTTAGAGGAGCCGAGCCCCCCCTGCTCGCAAAGGGAAGCGTGACGGAGGCCACATGCTCGCACCGCGGGCTCCCCCATGGCAGCTTCGCCCCATCTCCGGTGAACCTTCTGGTGACCTGGTCTGTCCAACTGAGCGAAAATGGCCCCGAAAATTGTCGGCTCCCTGCTGCCAGCGTGCACCCGGGGAGGAAGACCTCAGGTCATCAGCGACGCTCGAACACATTCTGCTCCGCCGTGGGGGGCGGCGGACCAGGAGCTAACGTGCCGCAGAGGAAATTGGTTTCCCACTGGCCTCGCCGCTCCGTGTTGTGTAAATCCCCGGGTTTAAGACGGGGAATTTTTCTGACGTGCTTTTGAGAATCTGATCTAACTGGTCTTTAAGGAAAGGAAGCAAAACTGCCCAGAACACCCCGTCGGCCTCTCACAGAAGGTTCGCGCTGGGCAGACCCCATCCGGCTTATCTCCTGGCCCAGCGGCAGCCTGGCTCTGAAGGTGTGAGGGACGCAGGAAGCCAAGGCAGGGCACAGCAGGACGAAGGGCTCGGGGAGCAGGCCCTGTCCTTGCAGGAGAAGGGGTGAGGCCTGAGACTGGCCGCTTTAAACTCTCGTGGTGCATTTTGCACGCGGGCCGATGTGGAGAAGGTGTCAGACACGCTCCCCACAGTCCGCTCTCGGCCGAGGTTCGGTGGCCTCTGCAAGCGACTCTGCAGATGTCTCACATGTGCACATGGGCCCTGCGCTCAGCTTGGTCGGGGACTCTGGACGATCCCTGCACCGGAGGCGCCTGCACCCCGGTTCCCGACTCTTCGCAGACGCACCTTGGTCTCCAGTGAGACCTCCTCACGGGCCAGGAGGCCGCTGGGGAGCCGGGTGCTCCTGACGTGGGACCAGGAGGCAGTGGGGATCGGTGCCCTGGTCCAGTCCCTGACCTTCTCTGTCGTCTCTTCCTTCTGGGTGCAGAGGTCTCAGGCCCTCTGCCGACTGACCACGCACAGCTGAGAAGGGCCTCGTGACTCAGCCTGTTCGGGAACCCTGCCTACAGGCAGGTCCGGGTGTGTCCCCGCAGGGCGTGCGACCAGTCCTCACAGCACGGCTGCTGGGGTCCCCGTCCTGTTGGACGGGCCGAAGCCCCGTCTGCTCTCCCACCTTCTGAAAGCGTTCCGTGTCCCTTCAAGTGCCTGGCACGGAACGAGCTGCCTGTTTCGGGTGCACGAGAACCCGCGGTGACGAGTGCCCCGCGTCCCAGGGGCTGAGTCACGTCTGCAAACGCCAGGCGGGGGTTTAACAGGGATGAGACAGGGTTCGAGACGCACAACTTTCCAGGGAAAACAACACGGGAAGCAGCCTGTGTCACATCTGTGTGAACACCGACGTCGGGAACAAGGACACGGGCTCCACACGAGAAGCAGTGACGTGTCCCCGCCTTGAGCCCGGAGGACGGGACTCTGCTTCCCTTCCACTCCGGCCCCCACAGAGCACCAGGCCCAGGCGATCGCACGCCGTGGAAGATTCCCTCTGAGCTGCTGTCAGTAATCTCGTCACCCTCTGACGACCACGACGTGCGCACAACACACCCCGTCCCGCAAGCACCCAGGGAAGGTGAGCTGGGAGGACCCGGAGCCGGGTGCGCCTCCCGGGGCCGAGCTCACTCAGCCCTTTTCCCACGCGAGGTTCACGTTCACCTGGGGGCCAGTTGTTCTGCTTCCGAATTTCTAGCGATATTTCAGTTTATGCCAGAAAGTCTGCAGTTCAGCACCAGGAAGATGCTGTGAGTGTCCACACACCACGTCCACGTGCTGCGGAAACCACGATCCCAGGGGTCTGTTGATACGTGTGTGTATGTGTGTGTGTGTACATGTGTGTAATGTGTGTTTATGTGTGTCTATGTGTGTATGTGTGTGCACATGTGTGTATGTGTGCACATGTGTTTATGTATGTATGTGTTGCTTGCATGTGTATGAGTGCACATGTGTGTGCATTCATGAGTTCGTGTGTATGTGTATTTGTGTGCTTGTATGTGTGTGCATGCATGTGTGTATGTCTCTGTGTTTGTGTGTACATGTGTTTGTGTGTTCATGTGTGTGTACATGTTTGTACGTGTATGTGTAGGTGTGTTTCTGCTTGCATGCATGTGTGTGCACGTGTGCGCATGTATGTGTGTCTGTGTGTGTGGGAGAGAGACCGCAGGGAAGGACTGCAGTGTATGTCATGGTCTGAAGCTCAGTCACCACAGGGAACAGGTGAGGGTGAAGCTCGTTCAGCACCATTCGGGCCGTGAGGTGAATCTGACCTTGCTCCCCTCCGGGCCTCCTGCAGGAATGAGCACACGATGCTCACAAGGTCTCTGGACGGACCACTGTTCACGGAGTCTCCCTCCTGCCCAGTGGGCAGCCCTGAGCTCGGGCCGCAGGCGCTCGGCTCCTTCACAGACTCGGCGGCAGCACACGCCGGTGGGTCTTGTCCAGAAACGTCTCCAAACAAGACCAGGAGCGAAAACGCGTCTTACCTCCGGCGTGGGGCGGGGGGCCGCAGAGCAGGACGACTCCCTGGCCTTCGCGCACGGACACCGTGCTCCTCGTCTTGGTTTTGAAGTTTTCCAGATCTGGTTGGAAACAGAACGAGACGGAATTTCAGAACCAACACCAACACGAAAACGCTCACCCGGGACACGCCCTTCTCCCAGGGGCAGGACTCGAACCCCGACGCGGGGATCTCAGGAGAACGTTCGTGTTGACAAGGAAAGGCAAGATTTCGATTTCTTCATTAAGGCTCCCGGCGTCCAGCAACACAATAAAAGAGCATCCCCACCAACCCTGGGTTTCTGTCGGCAACGGCAGGGCGGCCCCAGGGGCAGACGACGCGTGTATCAGAATTTAATAACCAGGAAATACGACCCAGGAGGAAATGAAATATCTTCAAGCAAATGTGGACAAACTGGTCCCCACGTTTGTCACAGATTTACCAGATCGTGAAGACACGTAGCTTCTCCTTATAACGCCGGCCAGCTGTTCGTACGTTTCTCTGCTAAAACACGTCATCATCAGTAGCATGAACACGTTTTATTCCACCTGTAATTAGTGCTGTTATTTATCAACGCAGAGCTGGAAACATTCCGCTCCTGGTACTGGCCCGTCGGCCCTGCATCTCGGAGAGTCTGGGGATGACCGACTGGCACCCGTGGGGGGCGGGGGTTCGCAGGATAACAGTAAATTACACCACGTACTCCTTTTCACTGGTAGGTCTGAAAAAACACGCACCGTTTTATAATTGCCCAAAGAATGCTCTTCCGGTGATTAATGAAGCCATCAAGGCAACCACGATTTTGATCACCGGAGGTTCTTTTTAAAACATCTCATTTCCCCCAATAACATCACAGGCTCCGGTTCGAATGGCAGCACGGAGAACATTCTACTGGGCGTGTTCTGAACAAACCTAAGCCCATGGGGGAAGGAAGGAAAAAATCCACCGTTTCTCTAATGTCTGACTAACGAAAGCGACTTCCACAGTGAACAGGGTGATGCCGTCAGGTTCTGTATCCAAGCAACTGTGCTGTGCATTTGTGGGAAAATACACCCATTTTACACCTCCCGGGAGGAGACACAAACCACCTACGCGGCTGCAGGAGAAGGCGTGTGTGGCTGAGAGCGTAACTCAGGAAATTTCCACTCTGCCTGGACAGACGCAGTTCCTCGCGACGTGGAATGCCGCAGACGTCCTGACGCTCCACGCTGGCCGTGGCCGCTCGGGGCTGGTGGGCCCCAGGCGAGATCTCAGCCGGGACAGAACCACGGGGGCCGCCTCGGCGAGTTGGGCGCCCAGTGAGCACGGCCGTGAGCCTGTGCACAGGAGCCACGTCGGGGCTGAGGAGCACCCCGGGGCCCACACGGGCCAGGCTGCGGGGGGAAGACCCCACCCTCAGCTCCGCCGCGCCAGACGTCACGGGGCAGAGGCCCAGCAAGGGCTCGGCTCCCGCAAGCTCAGCGCTAAGATTTCAGTCCGCTGACGACCTCACTGATCCGCGCCCCGCTGCGAGGAGAGAGAACTGTGGTTTGGGGGAATGGGCACGACTTCTCGGGCTGTTCCCAACACAGGCAGAAGCTTCTGGAACATCTCCCACACTTGCCTATAAGACTCAGGTGACTTACGCAGCTTTGGTGTCAACAGGTCTGAAACATAACCGTGATTTCCTCCCATAAAACGTTACTTGAGTCCCGTCTTTTCCCCCAATTTGCGCCAACTCTGTGCATTAGGGTCTTGAGGATCCCACCCTACGAGAAGGAGGCGTCCCCCAGACACGGCCCTTCTCACCCCCCAAGACCGTGGTGGGTCCACCGGGGACAAGGGCCACCCGCCGCCACCGACCCCCACGGAGACCCTGCGGCTGCCGCCGGCTGTGTCAACGGGTCCCCACACCGCTTCCATTTCTTGCTGAAAGTACGTTAACAGAGACATACGAGAAGAACCTCAACGGAAGGAAAGGGAGCTGCTGCTCATGTGAAAATACAATTAACGGCTTCTGAAACACTCAGTAACAGAGATCCGCCCTCCCTGTCCCGGAACGGACGCCGAAACCGCATGGAATCGATGGAACGAGAGCCCATAAAAGACGGAAAACACAGAATAAAAAATCTGTAGACTGTGCACCCAGGTTGCCTCAGCCTGTTTCTGAAATCGTCACGTCAGTTGAAAACAGAACAACAACGGGACGTCTCGGGAGAGTCGCGTGGGGCCACGGCGGGGAAAACCTCGGAGAAGGGACAGAAGGCAGGACACGAGCCGGAACACGCACAGAAGCAAAAGCGAGAGTCTAACCTGACGGCGACTCCTTTCTGAACAAACACCTGTTGTAAAGTGACCTCCAGGGGACGACCAGGAGGAAGAACTCGCCCTGTGGATTCAGACGACGGCACACGCGGGGCGTTTGAATCGACCACGAGAGCTAAGGCTGCGTCCGCGCGTGGCGTCCGCACGTGGCCCTGGCCTGTCACACCTGGAGGAAAGAAGACACGCGGACACCTCGCCCTCGGACCGCGAGCGACGTTCCGCTCGTGACACTGAAGCTGACCTCACGGACAGACTGACCACGTCTGCTTTCTCAAATGTTTTCCTTTCTATACATTAGGAGTATATTCTTCGTCTCTGCATCTGTCGGGCCCGGCTTCGCCATCAACACCACGTAACAAACGGACGTGCGGCACCAGGAACCGCTCTGCTTCCTTGGAAACGGCGGCCCCGGTCACCCGCGCGACAGCGTGTGTCAGAAGTCGGCTCAGAACAGTGGGTTTCGGACCTGCCGGTCGGGGCCGTGCCCCAGGGCCTACGGGTCACTCACACAGACAGCGTGGAGCCCGCCGCGCACGCCGCTGCTCCCGACCTGCAAACAGAGACGTCTCCTAGACGACAGAACTCTGCGTGCGGGAGCTCACGCCACTTCCGTGCGGTCATCTTCATCACGGCCTCAAACATCTTTTTAAAAGCTTCTAACAGCCGAAAATGTCACTGTGGCGTTTCCAGCAAAGAAATGCAAGTCGATGGTCTGCAGCCGGGCCTGGGGGTGGGGTTCGGCACAAAGGCCTCCGACCACGGGGCACACGCCTCAGTGCAGACTCTCCACCCCACCGCAGTGCGAAGCCTGCCAGAGGCTGAGGGGGACCCGAGGGGCTCAGCAGGAGCCAGCGGGTGCAGCTGCCAGGCCAGGGCGACTCTGCTCCCCTCCCTTCCTTCCCCCCACCGCGCCCCGCGGTGCCCTGCTCCCCGGGCTGCAGAGACTCTGTGCGTCTATATTTAGCCTCTTGCATTTGACGGGCTGTGTTCTCTCCCCGGGAACATCAGCATCTCACGGGCTTTGCCGGGCAATTAGCAGAGCGGTTGCTAAGGAATGCTGTTGACTGCAACACCCCGACAGCTAAACCTCCTGATCTCTGTGCTCCGGGCTGGCAGAGTGCGTCACACCGGACCCTTCGCACCGGGCGCGGGCAGTGTCCTCCAGGACTCGCGGTGTCAGCCACGGCTGTTCGCTGGCCGGCACAGGGCTGGACTTCAGCTGTGACTCTCCGAACACCGGGAACAGCGTCTGATCTGGGCCCTCACAGACCCTCCAGTGCCCGCCCCAGGGGCAGCCCGGCTGAGAGGAGGCGCTGTGGCCTGGGGTCAGGAGGGGTCAGGAGCACCTTCCTTCCCAGAGCCGGTAATTAGCTTTACTTTGATTACGGGATCACTGCCTACTGCAGACTTTCAGCAAAAGAAGAGAGACAGCAACACCTCCTCGTGAATGGTCGGGAAAAAATACTCCCTAATTCCAGTTAAATGGAGATTCTTTTAAAGGATTGAAATGACTTAACGTGGTGATGACCCCCCCACAGACAACATCTTCTTTAACTACATTTTTTTTTACCCTCACCTGAGGACATTTTTGCATTTATCTTCAGATAGAACAGGAGGGAGGGAGGGAGAGAGGGAGAATCGACGTGAAAGGGACACACTGAGTGGCTGCCACCCACACCACGCAGGAGTTCGTGTCCACCTGCGGGCGGCCGCACCCGAGGTCACCCCCGAGGTCACCCCCGAGGTCACTTTGGTTGTCCGGCCGAAGAGCCCTCCCATGACCCACGCAAAGCTTGCAAAGCAAATAGCAAAGAAAAACCCTCCCCTAAGTGTGAGGTGGGGTCTCAAGAGAGGTCGTGTCCCCAACCTTGAACCCGGGGTCCGACCCCCCGCGCCGCGGGCGGTGACGTGAAAACCTGGGCGAAGGCGCGTCCTTTACCAGCTACGGGGATCAGGAAAGTTGCGTCTGTCGTGACGACGTCTCGCTCATTTCCATGAGGTCTTTAGAAACACTTAACCGAGGAAAAGAATCAGCCTCATCCAAAGCGATGTAAGAAAAAAAAGCGCACATTATCGTGTCGTTTTTAACACCCGACCTGAACATCAACCGGAGCCTGGTAACGGGGGATATAAATATTATGATAGCCTGCCTGTTGCCATGGGAACCCCGGGTACGCACTTGCCTCCCTGGCTCAGCGAGCGAGCGGGTCCGGGCACCTGCTCTCCGTAGAAACCGCGTCCGGGACCCGGAACGAGCCGAGAACAGGGTGGGACTCGAAGGGCATCGCCCAGGCTCCAGGGCGCCCGGGTCCACATCCCGGCAGCCTGCCCGCGTGAGCAAGGAGCCCCCGAGAACGGTTTCTCCGTTTAAGTTTTTAAGGCACAAAAATGCCCACAGATGGCAAAGCCACCAGGGCACCTGTGCGGGTGCAGAGGGTCAAAGGGGCGGACACAGGACAAACGCAAGCTGGTTGTGAGAACAACTGGGGTAGCTTCCCAGGGGGCTCTCACCCTGCGGACCTCTGCTGACCGCAGGTGCTGGCCCTGGGCCCTGGGGGGGAGGTGTGCCCCGGGCCCTGGGGCTGAAGTCCAGCCCTGTGCCCGCCAGCGAACAGCCGTGGCTGACACCTCAAGTCCTGAAGGACACTGCCCCGCGACCGGTGTGAAGGGTCCGGTGTGACGCACTCTGCCAGCCCAGAGCACAAAGATCAGGAGGTTTGACCGCTGTCGGGGTGTTGCAGTCAACAGCACCCGGCTGAGCACCTATGAGGCCACAGA